GTTCACATGGCGGCTACGTATTCCCCTCCCCACCCCCACCTCCCACCTTTTCTTTTTTAAGAACTAGGATGATGCTACACACTGCAGCCCACCCTACTGGTCAAAATGAAAAACTGCATCATAAAGGACCATTTTCTTGAAGTAAAGGGAAAAAAAGAACTTTTTAAACACCTTCCTGTCTAACCCACTGCTGACATGTAGCTCATTTTGGAAATATTAAGTTATGCTGCCCTTTTGGTTATTGGATTCACAGGTGTAGTAGTGGTTGTGCTATACGTACTCAATTTGGTTCCATTTATGATCATTTAGACTGTGCTACTCTCTGCAAATGGCATTCACAAAGATTCTTAAGAAATCTGTTATTCCTAGCATGATTATACGATTAGTAAATAGTATTCTAATTTAAAAAACAGTTTTAGGCTCAATGTATTTCTTGTACATTCAAGATCTAGTTGGAGCAACTTTTTAAAAGAATGATAAATGGAAACTTTCTTTACCTGGCCCATCATTTATTCTGTAGACTTAATGACATTCAGTACTATTATACTCACTGCCAGGGCCTTGGGGGGAAAAAGAATATTTATACATTGAGTTATGGCTAGATGTAGGAGAAAAAAAAAAAGAAGGGCAGGAAGTCAGACTATATAGAACAGAGAAGAATTCGAGACCTTCACTACATGTGGATTAATCACAAGAACTAACCGCGCAAATCCAAATGGATATTTAGAAACTGGTGAAGCCTCTAAGATGTTCTGTGGGAAATACCATACATTTTCTAATGCATGAATTTGTGCAAAAGGGTATGTAATTTATAGTGGAAGTGTTGACAGAACTTTAGCTTTGGTATTGCAGATGCGCTCCATAATATATTGACATGTGAGTAACATTTCACATATATGGGCACATATGTACCCAGCATATTTCTTTTGTGGGTGTTATTTTCAAAAAATTAGGTAAATGATTGCAATAAGGAATAATAAGCTGTAGTTTTGCTAATCTTGCCATAGTTCAGCTTTGAGAACTGTATGACTATTAAATTGGTGTGTGAAAATCTGGCAATATTAATGCTATCAAGCATGAAAACTAACTGGATTTGGATCAGGGAGCTTTATTTATAGCATTTTATTTAGGACTTATTAGTTTAAAGGGGGAGCTGTATGTCTCATGGGTTCTTAAATATTAAATAGAGTCAGAAATCATGTGTTCCCTTCCAACGGCAAGAATAAAAACAAAAACCAAAAATTACAGACAATTTTACATTAATTTTGGTTTCTTTATATTATCCAAAAATACTTGATGAAGTAATAGCAAACTCTATAAAATTTTGAACCATACCATATAAACAGTTGATTACAGATGTAAATAAAGCCTTTATAATATAGCTCACCATTAATTAGAAGAGAAGTAAAAGATGACTTTATACTAACATTAAAAAACCATTGAGCCTTTACATATTGAATAAGCAAACATATATTTATTTCATCTGTTATTCGTTAGTCTTGTTTGTTTTGTTTTGTTTTTTTAATGGTTAAACTGTCTTTTTTCATTTCTTTCTCATTTCTTTGGTAAAATTGTCATTATAGCCTGTTTTTGTCCCTAAATAGTACCTGCAAGTTCAGGATCAAATGGGTTTGCTATGAGTCAAAATAGTTACAAGGGGAACATCATCATGGTTCATTTTTTCCCCTGTTTTATTTAGAATTGAATTAGGAAATGAAAGTTTTTAGCAGTTTAATTCACTTCTCCATAAAGTTTATGGAGCAGCCACAGCTGGTTGAATCTATGGCATAAAAAGCCAACTTCTAGTGGCCAAGCTATTGTTTTAGAATTAAGGGGGGAAAACTCATTAACTGTTAATGAAAACACAGGGAATAAAAACAAATAGCACAGAAACCCTAGCAAATAATTACCTTACACCTGACACAAAGCTGCTTTATCTTTCTGCCCCAACTCTCCGAAATTCCCAACTTATCACTCTGCGGAGCATGAATGAAATTGAGTTTGACTCTCAGGAAAGAACAGTAGAGAAATATTCCTCTTATAGGCCCCTCAGCACAATACGCAGTGGAGAACCTGACATTGAATATACTAAGGAGTGTATCTAGTGCCCAATTCTTATGACACTTAGGATAGAGGAGCAAATTACCAGCTAATAGCAGGTGAACCCTTGATATAGTTCCCCCAAATCTTGTTTAGAAATACAAAGAGAAGGCACTGGAGGCAGTGGATGTGATTAATGGAGATATTATGTGTTAGAATATATATCTGTATAGAAATATATTGATTCTGAGCGAGTTGCAATGGGAAAGTGTGTCTCTAGTGGCAAGGGTTCTTGCTTGTGAGAAAGCCACGCTAAGTAGATGGAATTCTGAGCCCTAATTGTGGAGCTGCTGAGTGGAAATGTCTGTCACTATAGTTTGTGATCATTTATGTCTGATCCCACTGGACTATAGTAGTGGCCACTTGGAACTGTGACCGTCAGAGCTGTAGATGAATCCAAAGATCACTTGCAGTTATGTTTTAAGGAAAAATGATGTTCTAAACTTAAACAAATCCAAAATGACCACGGTAATTGCTGGTTCTTCTATAAAACTTTTCACCCATGCATCCTGAGTAGTTGTAATCATTTTAATTACACGGGAGTGTCTATTCAGATAGTGTTAAAGGTTTTTTTCGATATGTGCCCAAGAGAGTTGGGCCACTTGATATGACACTGAAGACACTTATAGCAACATTTCCATCATCAGGAACTAATTATGCTTGGATGTAAAACATATTTGCAAATGTTTCCCCCACTGCAACCACTTTTAGTACTGACCTCAGCTCCTTTTGCTGCGTTGGATTGTGTACCTTTGTTGCTAAATGCTTTACGGAGGCATGGTCTCGTATTTGGCTGTTAAAAGCTCACCTTGGGTAACTATGTTCAAAAACCATAGGAGTCACATGGAAATGCCAAATCCATGTACATATTTTGGGTGAGATTTTAAAAATACAAGGTCTAAATATAATTGGAGTAGCTCCTGGAACAAGAAAAAAAAAAATCAGTGGAAAAATTGGGGAAATCCAAATAAAGTCTTTCATTTAGTTAACAGTGACGTACTAATGTTAATTTCTTGGCTTTGACAGATGTACCCTAGTTATGTATGAATTGACTGGGAAAAACTGGATAAAGGGTATACAGGAACTCTCTGTACTATCTTTAAAATACTTACAATAAATCTAAAATTATTCCAAGATAAAAAGCTCATTAAAAAAGAGCAAAACAAAGCAAAGCCTATGCTGATTTGCTTATTTAAAAAAAAAAAAAAAAACCTGGCATGCTGGAATGTGTAAGAGTAGATTTGTCAAATTCCTGAAGCAAGCAGAAAACTTTGAGTCTAGACGTTGAAATATAATGTTTAGTATATCATACAAATGTTAAATTTTGTGTGGCAACTCAAACTCCTTTTTTTAATAAATAGATTTTGGTTTGGCTCAAATTTTTTAAATTGCTTTAACTTTACAGCTCAGTTTCAGGTCTCCTGGCAGGCAGTCCATTTAGATCATGTTGATAATATAATTTTAGTGGCTTTGCAGTGCTGCAAAGTTTGAATACTTTGACCCTCAGTCTAGTATTTGAGAATTTTTCTGGTTATAATGGAAATTTTACAGTGATACTTTAAGCATAACTATAAGCTTTGTATCCTGATCAGTAACCTAATAAAGGAGAGCATTTCTTCTGGCCAGCAACTGTTCTGTGAAGTGTTTTGTTTTTTAAATTTTTCTTCTCCACAATAAAATCCACAGTTTATTTCTAAAATTCTGTATCTGCAGGTGTTCAACTCAGTTATGGACATCCACCTACCATTGGTCATAGAAGAGTCTAGATATCTAATTTATAGAAAGAGAAGGCTACAGCCATTCTCTTTATACTTTTATATCCTCCCTATCCTTCTAGTTTAATTGTAGGAAATAAACCTTTAAAGTGAGGCAATACAGATTCTATGTAGGTTGTTTGGTTTCACTGCTCCCTAGTTGCAATCCAGGGCCAAAACTCTACAATGTTTACTGAGATTAGCATTGGTGATTTCCTTTGGAAATTAGTATTTGAGATAATATTAAATTCAGTTGAAAATCCCCTTTTCATGTTTGGGAAATGAACTGAGCAGCTGTTGGTGTCCTTTTATCAGCAGACTGTACCTCTGTTTGGGGGATTTTAAGGAAAGCCATTTACAATGCAGAGCCTTTTCTTCCGGTTTCTGAATGAGCTAACATCTTCCGTCTGAACCTTTTAAAGTATTATAATAGCATAGCCCACTTCTACAAAATACAATCCAATGTATGTTGAAAACACCCAAAAGAGATTAGCATTGTTTTAATTGCATAATTCAGTATTGTATATACATTACCTTTCATCAAAGCCATTTTACAGAACAAATATTACCTTCTTAGGGCTTTTAGAATCCCTGAGAGGTTGGTTGCCTAGGCTGTAAACTAGAATTATAAGTAGAGAACTTTCTTAAGATTACAAAACAAGTAGTGATTGAAATTGGAATAGAATCCAGCAAAGTCCAGATTCTCTCTATTTTTACTTCTCTTATTTTTCAGAACAGGAAAGAATATTGACCTTGCTACATCATATTACATATAGAAATTTAATCCTTTTTGTAATTTATTCTATTTCATTTGGAAATGTAAAGAGAAAGTGGCATACATATTTATACAGCTATGTTTTCATTTTAAGTATGATGGAGAAATTTCTCTCTGGTGGTTAAGAGTTCCCCCTACTCTAAGCTAACAGTTTCTAAGTTCTAGTTAGAGAGTTAGTTGAGTGGAAAATTTCCAGGTAAGTTGGTTTTTTCACCTATCTGTTTTACGTATGTTATAGATAATGGCCATCCATATCCATCAAGTAAAAGCTATATCTTTTTTGTGTATGTTTGTGAATAGCAAAAGAAATATACAAAGACCTTTATAAAGATGCCCAAAATATGACCTTATTTTTCTCTTTTGTCCTTCAGGGGGAGACCAAGCTGAAAATTACCTTGGACAGGACAGCTCCGATGATAATCACAGTGGAACTCATGGCCCTTCTCTCACATCAGATGCACCTTTTTTGTCAGATTATCAAGATGAGGGTGAGTGTCATCTTTCTGGATTTTAGGTCATCATACTTTATTATTTTTTGTCCTGGTGTCATTGCCCTTTGTCATTTGAATCAAGCAGTCTTCAGTGGATTCTCTGTATTGGTAATCACTAGTTTACAAAGGACAACTATTTGTTTCATTGCGGGGCTGATCCTCCTAGGTAATTCAATCCTTCTGGTTAATGTATTTAGGAAAACACTAATTCCATATTGGAGCAGGAAGGCATCATTATTGATCTTTTTATAATAACTGTAGCTCAAAAGCTAAGAGAGCATTTTAAGATTCCAGGCCTAATTTACCATTCTTTCAGATTTCTTAACTTCACTGAGTTGGATGAGAATTAGATCTTTCATTTAATAATTATTGGATTATTGATTTATTGTGGATTATTTTAAATTTGTGCGCTTATTATATTATAGTAAGGTATCATTTTTACCCATGCTTCTCACATACCCCTGATCATATTGGGGTTGTTTAAGGTAAGTCACAAGAACCACATGACAAATCTGGAGCGTCAATTTAACTTAAAGATTTGGGAATGAGAGGAGTTAAATAATTCAACTGTTATAAATATTATTTTATATTAAAAACACACTGGAATGTAATAAGGTAGAATGCAAAATATACATGAATTTTTACGATACATGAATATAAAAATTTTGGCCTGGTGGCTGCCAGTTGCTGGCTCAGACTCAGATATCCCAAGGGTAGGGATTTACTGTGCCTCTTCTGGCATCTGGCCACTTGAACAGAAGGTTTGATCATTGATGCACACGGTTATCTTATCAAAGTCTCTCTTGTGCCTTTGCAATGGGGGAGAAAGGTAGAGAAGCTACTAAACTGAGTTCTAAATTGGAAGCATATTATTCACTTAGGGATTAAGAGTAAAGTTGGTAAATTATTCGTTATTTCTCTTTATTAGTCTGTAATCTTTCAATTTATTTTTCTTCCAAATTTCCCTATGAGTCTGGCGTTTTCTAAGAGATCTTAACCCCTATGTTTTCTTCTCTTTTTAATTTATCCATTAATTTTTATTCTGTTTTGCCTTTTTGGCAATTTATAGTTTTTCCCTTTCATTGAATTGATAACCTCCACAGGCGAACTATGGATTCTGTCACACAGAAGTATTTTATTTTGCTTGAACTTGTATACTAGCACAATTAGTAATACCCAAGTTTTAGAAATTGTGAGATCTGTATATTGGTAATGTGAGATCTGTGTATTGGTTCAGGTATTACACTAAAAACGTTGGCTTGAGAGCTTAATAATTACATTGGTAGCTGATTAATAATTATAGAAAATTAACAGTGCAAAACATTTTTAAAAAGCCTTTCATTTGTTTTTCATTAATCTAATGCTTGACAGAATTAGAACAATAGTCCTTCATTAATCCTTAAGTCATTTATTTGGTATTTCCAACTTTACCAGACATAGCTGAAAACACAGTAAGTAAACCAGAAAGAGCAATAAGTAGACATAGATGTTCCTGAGTCCTGTGTTAACACTTATGTACCTTATTCTTGGGAAAGCCCCAGAGGCCCTCACTGGGGATTCCTCATCTTAGAAATTTCTAACCATGACAACATTTTGATTTCACAGCCCACAGTAGAGGGAAGCGTAAAATTGGAAGAAGGGATATTGTAAAGGCATTAATTGAGGTATAATGAAATAACATTGGGATAAGAAACAGGAAAACAATTAAAAATTTATATAGGAAACAGAATCTATAAATAAGACAAAATTTATATAGGAACTCAAAAAACATAGCAGTCTGGGACTGTATTGTATTGTAAAGAGAAATAGCCCAAGCTCACCTTTAAGGGCTTAATAAAGTAAAACTTTTTAGCTAACATTTATTGAGCACTTACTGTGTGCCTTGTATCTATGTCCTAAGCAGTTTGCACAAATCATCATTTAATCCTCAGAATAGCCCTAAGAGGTAGATGTTAGAATTGTCTTCATTTTGCAGGTAAGGAAACGGAGACCAAGGGAAGGTAACTTATCTTAGATCCCACAGCTAGTAAGTAGCAGTGCCAGGATTTATACCTACACAGTCTGGTTCTAGACTCCTGCTCTTGAACACTCTACTCTCCTTATAATTGTCCTTGTCTGAGTTATTCAAAAAAGGTGGATTCATGTTCCAAACACTTTGGTTAAGGCCATACAGGTACACATAGTATGTTTAAAAATATTTTTGTTAAGAAGCTGAAATTTTTTTTTTTAAATCAATGTCAAAAGAGGTAAATCTATTATCTGGAAAATTCCAAAGTGGGAAGTTTTACTCTATAATGGTTCCCCATAAGAGAAGAGTTAACCGTATTAGCAATAGGAAATTCTTCCTTAATAGATTTATATTTTTAGTCCTGTGCATAAAAGTTAAAAGAATTCCCAAAGTGACAATATCAGTGGTAGAGATAAGAATAGACTTGTTTATGTGTGAAAAATTTGATTGTAGGATGATGAGATAATATTTAAATATGAGGTTCCATAAAGCACCGAATCTGGAATGTGCCTAAGTATGTGATGCATAATGAGCACAATAAATGTTTGTTTCCTTCCTCTGAAAAAATAAAGATATATACATTTCCTGCAAAATTAAAGAGGTTAGGAAGATGTTAAAATTTTAAGTAAAATTTATAGCCTGCTTAGCTAGATTTTACCATTATAGAGAATAGTAACACTTGACACACTACTTATTCATTATTTTAACAAATACTTATTCAGAGATTATATGGTAATAACAAGGCACTGTACTAAGCTGTAAGTGAAATATGCAGTAAAAAGTCAGACACAGTCCCTGCTGTCATGGAGTTTACCCTCATTGGGAAAACACGCTATTAATAAGTAGACAAATAAATATAAAGTCAGTGTCTTCAGTTGCTGGTGAGATAGCTAAGGCCGTCCTTCAGGAAGAAAAGATGTTTTTTAACTTCCTTGGTAGTAATATTATTTTAGGCTTTTGGAATTTTATCTTTATTAGATAATGAAAGGTCACTGTTCAAATATTTCAGCTTTGTTGCCTTCTACCTCCAGCCAGAGTAATGTCCTAAACGTACAATTATAAAAGGACACATGGTCTGACCCATCCACCCGTAACTTCAGTGATGAAAAGCAATAACCGTGGTGCGTGTCGTGTTTGGGACATGCTTTTGTGAAAACTACAAAGAGATCTAGAAGAATATAGAAACTTGGCCAGGTGTACAGCAAAAAATGAAAATCAAGGTTACAGGCTAAACCATGCATAAAAACGAGAGCATGTTGTTACCTACTCACAATTTCTTCTCCTTCTCCTTTGTAAATGCCCTCAACCCAAGAACGGCAGGAGAGAGACACCCACGAACAAACACATAGCCTCACCACTGGGAATGAAAACTTGCTAACAAGTAATGACATTTAGATTTCCAAACCTAGGGAAGCACAGTTCCTACCATTCTGAAAGAAAAAAAATTTAGTATGAAATGCTAAATACAGTAACTTTATAAGAGTCAGTCAGCTATGAAGCTCAAGATCTGATTGCTTTCAAATATATACAGTGGATTTTCAAAATGTACAATGGATTTTAATGTGTCTGTAAACTTATTTTTTTATTAGTATAATAAAGAACCCCTATGTACATATATATACATTTTTTGAAAGAAGGGTTGGGAAAAGTGATCATTCTATAAACAGGGTATAGTGACTCCTTCTGGAGGAAAAAGAAAAAATTATTTTATAAGAGAGGAAACCTAAAATCTGTAAAAATGTATTGTTGATTATGTACTATATATTTTTACATTTCTAATTAAGGAAAAGAGAATGAATGGATAGAAAAGAGATATCTGGAAAGAAATGAGAAAAAATGTTTCTAAAGCTTATTTTTACATCAGGATGTTGAAGGTTAGAGAAGGTTCTTATTCTCCAGCAAAATGAAAAATAGAACTGGAGAAGACTTGCAACCATCTTTAGAGAAGAGTAATAATGAATACGTGAAGAGCCTGTTGTTGATCAATTTTATTAGTGGCCATTTTTGACTCCATGCCTTTTCTAAAAGGTACATTGAAAAACACAGAATATTTTGAAAACGAAGAGAATCAGATTTTTATGGCTTTATTTTTAGCATTTTTCTTTTTTACATTTCTCTGCTTTCATTTGGTTCTGAATAGTAGTTGTGGATTTAATATTATGAATAACAATAGACTAGCTTTTGTTGATCATTGTGTTTTATTTCTGTAATAATAATAGGAAGAAGATATTGTTTTAATATCTTTCCTAATGGGAGGAAGAATATTTTTAAAACTATTCTACTATTGTAAAATAAAAATGAAAATTTAATTTATTGATTAGATTTTTGTTGCTGGAATTAATGTTTCTCATCTAGTAATAGGACTCATTTATTGAGCACTTACTATGCTGTACTAAGTGCTTTTCATGAATTATCTCATTTAATTCTCAAACTAGCTCAGAGAAAAAAATACTGTCATTCCCATTTTACAGGTAAAGAAATGGAGGTTTAAAGAAATTCAGTGACTTGGCCAAGGATGACATATCTAATCCATGGGGGTGGGGGTGAGGATTAAATTCTAATTGATTCTAAAGCTACTGCTTTTTGAAGAACCCTGATTAGCTGAATATTTGTCCTTTGAAACACCCGCCCTTAAGGACTTTACATCTTATTCTGTTTATTGCTTTTATTCCACTTAATATAATGTTCATTTAAAAAATAAATGTATTCAAAGCTAAAAATTATCCTCTAAATTCTACTTTAACTGCATCTTATAAAATTTGACATGTATTACTTTTATTATAATTCATAATTCCATTCTAAATATTTTGTAATTTCTTTTATGATATCCTTTTTAACCTATGGGTTATTTAGAAGCATTTGTGTATGTTGTAGTTTTTTTCCTGGTTTTGTTTTTAATTTATTTTGTTTTAGCTTCTAGAGATTATTAAACCTGCAGAATTCTAATTTTATTACATTATATTCTAAGAACATAGTCTATATTATCTAGTCTTTGGACTTAACTGAGACTTCTTTTGTGGCCTGGTAATGATCAGTTTATGGTTATGGGCTAAGAGTGCCCCCAAAGTATTTATTGAATACACTTATATTATCTTTATACTTGTAAATAGTATTCTTCAGATCTTTTATATCCTAGCTTTTCTTTCATCTGCTGAAAGGATTGTATTAAAATCTCCAATTAAAAATGGTAGGTTTATTCATTTTTCCATGTTTTGTTTTACATTTTCAAGGTCATGTTATTAGATATTCATACAGAGCTCTGTTTAAAAAAGTTTCCCTCTACTTAGCTGGAATCCTATCCCTAGAACTTTCAGTTATTAAGCTAGTTTTTCGATCTAAGTCAACTTATAGCACCCACAGACCTGTTAAAGTCACTGGTACCTAGTAGGTTAAAAGAGTTAATGGCCTAAAAGCAGTGAGCCATTTGCTTCCTTCATACTGGTGGAGTCAAGCCCAGTACTTTCTTCGTGTGTGTGTGTGTGTGTGTGTGTGTTTAATGACATAAACTATGTGAATGTATTTAAAGTTTTTAGTTCCTTTTTATTCTGATATCGAAATAATGAAAGTGACTCAAGATAATCTATCCATATATAAATATAGAAATAAGCATTATGTGCATACATACATATATTCAAACAAGCATTTATCTCATTTTTTTTTATTCTTCACACAGTTGCTTTCATGTTTGTTGCTCAGAGATATATTTTTCTTTAATAAAGGCACATGACTCCTGTCAGCCATAATGGGAGTTATGTGTGTGTGTTTAGAGTATACATTGTGGAAGAACACAAAACTTGTTTCCATTCTGTGTTTTGGGGCGAAAGAATGAATTCTACTGTAAAACACATACTTTTGTGAGCATGGTGGATTTCTGAAAAAGTTTCTGTTGGCTTCAGGTGAGTACATCAGATTTCAGATCATTGTGAGAAATTAAGGACTCAATGTTGAGTTAACTGTGATAAGGGTAAGTAAGCTGTCACTCAGGATTGCAGTGGCCTCCTTCATGAAGATGAATGTTTTATTAGATCGAAGACATCATGTCGTTTATATAGTCTGGTATAAATCACAGATGAAGATGACAAACTGGGTTTCAAAGTTGACAGTAATTTATATAACTTAAACAAATGATTACCAAGGATTATACATGTTTTGTGAAGAATAAAAAAACAATAACAATTATCTGTCTATGAACTACCCATTTTTCATTCTGCAGCCCAGCATGTTGGGCTGTTGGTGCGTGTTTAAACTCTAACCT